CTCCAGTGCCAATATATATATAATTTAAAGTGTTTTTTCTTATTTTCTATATATACCTTTTTGTTTGTTTTATGGAGGTGATATTTTCTTAGATATCTTTTAAGATTTTAATAATTCTGAAAATTTCCTTATTGCTTCCTGAATCCTTTGTATGTTTTGGTTTGATACCCCTCTCTCTCCATTATCTCTCTCTTTCTCTGATAGATATCCTCAGATACTGGCAGCCATCCAGGTATATATTCATATCTAAGTGTGCGATATTAAAAGCCAATTCAAACTCTTTCTGTGGATCCAGAGATTGTCATCTGGTAGAGCTCACTCCTGCTGTTTTGTTAGGAGAATGTCAATATCTGTAGGATTCTTAGGCTGTTAGGTGATCTTAGAAAGATATCTTCTGAAGGGATCCATGTCATTCTACAGTATCTGTATGGACTGCATTTCAGAAGCCAAGTAAAGGTGGTATCTGAGTATTTCCTCCTTCAACTTGCAAATTTTCACTCTGTCCTTCTGTTTTCACATATCACACCACCTAGCCTTGATTCAGGAGAGAATCTTGTGGTGGTGCCAGTGGAGGGAAAAGGACCTGAGGTCTATTGCTCCCTATTTATACTGTTAATTAATCCTATTTTTTCATCTTCACTCACATCTGCCTTCAGGAGTAACTGGGGCTTCTAAATTGTGAGCCTTTCTGACGTGCTGTGGGTTTACCTACCCTGCCTCTTTCCAAATACATCTTAGACACTCAGATTTAAGATTTGTTATCTACAACTCATCTATCTGCTTTCTATTTTATTTTTAACTACAATACTTTGGGGAATGCCCCACAGAAATAAAAACCATTAGGAAGAGTGGCCCCTAGGAGTGTCCTGGGGAGAGAGGAGAGAAACACAAAAGGAACCCTGTGCAGACTCAGGGCAAAGGGAAGGCCATCTGGGCTAGGAAGTGTGAGCAGGAAGGGAGGAAACACAGCAAGCGGGGCTGGCTGCAGGCACACAGGCCTAAAGCAACAAGGCTGACACTAAGCTGCAGAGCAACCTGGGCTCCTTCTACTTCTCATTCACCTTTTTCTGCTTCTGTTGCATGATCTCTGAGTCCCTCTGCTTGTGGGCAGCAGCAGAAAGCTTTCAAAAAGTCATCTCAATTTTTTTGATGCTATTGTGAGAGGAATTGTTTGTCCCATTTCTCAGTGAGTCTGTTTTTAATGTACAAAAAAAGCTATTGATTTTTGTGTGTTGACGTTGTATCCAGATACTTTAATGAATGTGATTACTAAGTCTAGAAGACTTTTGGTGAAGTTCTTGGGGATCTTCTATATAGAGTATCATGTCATCTAGGAATCAACCTAACAAAAGAAATCAAAGACCTCTACTCTGAAAACTATAGCACTCTGAAAAAAAAAAAGAGATTGAAGATGATATCAGAAAATGGAAAGACATCCCCTGCTCTTGGATAGGAAGAACCAATGTAGGAAAAATGGCCATACTTCCAAAACTGCTGTACAGATTCAGTGTAATTCCAGTTGAAATTCCAGCAGCATACTTCACAGACCCTGAGAAAACAATTCAAAAATTCATTTGGAATAGAAAGAGCCCTAGAATAGCAAAATCAGTTCTAGGCAATAAAGACAAGGTTGGGTGTATCACAATCCCCAACTTGAAAATATACTACAAAGCCACTGTGATGAAAACAGCATGATACTGGCAAAGAAACAGACCTGAGGACCAGTGGAACAGATTAGAAGATGCAGAAACAACTCCAGATACACTTAGCCACCACATCTTCAACAAAGGAGCCAAATACTTTCACTGGAGGAAAGATAACCTCTTTAATAAATGGTGCTGGAAAAACTTGGTTTCAATTTGCCAAAGAATAAAACTAGATCTATATCTCTCACCATGCACTAAACTAAAATCTAAGTGGATTAAAGATCTAAATATTAAAACAGAAACACTACACTGGCAGGAAGAGAAGTTAGGTAGAATTCTTGAAGACACTGGTGTAGGAAAAGATTTTATGGACAAAACCTCAGCTGCCCATGAACTAGCACAAACAATCAACAAATGGGATATTATCTTATTAAAACGCTTCTGCACAGCACAAGAAATTACCAATAGAGTGAAGAGATAACAAGCAATGTAGGAAAAAAATTTCACCAGCTATTCCTCAGAAAAAGGTCTACTATCAAGAATATATAGGGCCAGGGATTTGACTCTGTGGTTCTGCTGCCTGTCTCACAAGCACAAGGACCCGAGTTGGATACCCAGCACCAAAAACAGAACAAAACAAAACAAACAAACAAAAAAGATTATATAAAGAACTTTAAAAAATCAGACCTCCCAAATTTAAAGACCCAGTCCAAAAATGACATCAGAAATTCACAGATATTTCTCAGACAAAGAAGTAGAAATGGCAAACAAACATATGAATAAATGTCCAACATCACTGGTCATTTGAGAGACACAAATGAAAACAACAAGGAGATTCTACCTCACCCCAGAAAGAATGGCTGCTATCATTTGTAAATGGGGAGAGTAGGAGGGGGTGAAGGGAGGGCAGGGACAAGGGGAAAAAATGAGAACCAAGACCTGTCATGTAAAGGTATAAGATCCCAATAATGAATGTACCTGTGCTGTATACTTAAAATGTACTAATAAACTCAATTAAAAAAAAAAAGAAGGGCTGCTATCATGAAATCACCTAATAACAAAAAGTGCTAGCAAAGCTATGGGGAAAGAGGAAACCAGCTCCACTGCTGATGGGAGTGTGGACTGATTCAACCAATGTGGAAATCACTATGGAGATACCTCAAAGAACTAGGATTGGAAGTCCTAATTGACCCAGGTATTCCCCTGCTCGGTATCTTTCCCCAGAGAATTAAAAGAATCACACCACAGTAATATATGTGCATCCATGTTCATAGCAGCACAATTCCTGATAGCTAAAACTTGGAAACAGCCCAAATGCCCATCAACAGAAGACTGGATAAAGAAAATGTGTGTGTGTGTGTGTAATAAAAGCAGTACTACTCAGCCATAAAGAACAAGAAACTAGATACATTTATAGGAAAATGGGTGCACATTGCGATGATACTCAAGTGAAATAAATAGGACCACATATGTGTAAATACTGAATAGTTTCTCTAGTGTGAGAAACTGAGAGTGTAAATAAGGACTAAAAGGTATAATAAGTAATGTGAAATAGGAAGAAGAGGTGCAAAGGGGAAGGGGAAGTGAGAGGGGTAGGGGAAAAAAAGAAGGGAATGGAATTAACATGAGAAAAACAGAAAATG